TGATAACCTCTCTTTCCTGAGTTGTCTAAGTGAACTCTCAGGGCCTCTGGAGTCTCAAAGCTCCCCTTGGTGCCATCTTTGTCCAGGAAAATGGCAGAGGGGAGTGTGAAAGCCAGGCAGGGAGGCTCTGCCTGGCAGGAATGACCTTTATGAGAAATGTAGGGGGGAGGAAAACAGAGAGCAGCTTCATCTGTGGGGCGCGAGGGAGTGGAGAAATTCCAGTCTTGCTATTGCTTTTCATATCTAGGGAATTTCATGTGTTGCCCACACATTGCATAAGTGCCTTGCATCTGGCTGGTAGGAGAGGCAGTGATGTCCCCTTGCCCTCCTGGAGCCACTTTGCCAGGTGCCTCAGCCTTGTCTGTCGTGCTGCAGCAGAGCTGCTCTCTCCAGAGCTGCTGTGGGCTGTATGTGACCAGCTGTCTGTGGACTTCCAGTGGGCAGGGAGGTTATTCCCATGGGCACTCAGCCTGGGCCTGCAGGTCTTGCCCAATGTCTTGGACAAGATCTTAGTGGGGGAGAGTCTCATTTTGCCCTCATGTCCCTCCAAAACCTGGAGATCTCCTTCTGCCTGGGCTGGGAGGATGAAGCTGCATGTGGCCGAGGAGCCTGCTCCTGTCCCCACCCTGGCATGGAGGACTTGTTTCCAAAGTTCTTGGCAATAGAATAGACTATTCCATTTGGAATGGAGCATCAATGACCACATCTAGTTTGACTGCCTGATTGCTTCAGGGCTGATCAGAAGTTAAGCCCTGTTATTAAGGGCATTGTCTCAATGTCTCTTAAACACTGACAGACTTGGGGCACTGACCACCTTTCTAGGAAGTTGTTCCACGGTGTGACAAACATCTCAGGCTGAAAGAAAGGCTTCCTCAGGTCCAGTCTCATCTCCTCTGAGGCAGTTTTGAACCATTTGAATTTATTCTATCACTGGATATCGGGGAGCAGAGATTAGCACCCCCTTCTCCATGTAAGGTGAAACACAATGCTCAGAGGGAATAAAGTGCTACTTAGGATTTGAAATATTTAAGAGGAGATTATTACTTTAGCACCATTATTCCAACTGCTTTACTTCAAAGCCTCAATTAGGCCATTGCAGCATACAGGAACTGCAGATCAAAGTACAGGTGCCCATAGTATTGTGAAGCAAGGTAAGGTGCAGCAAGCATGTACAGGGAGGGCAGGTTCTCATTCCAGCTTTTCTCAAGACATGTGAATGTTTAGAAACTGCTCTTTGATCCTTCAGCATCTGTAATTTCTCATTCAGTTGTCCTTTTTTGTTAAGTGGGCTTTTAGAGGCAGCTGGAAGGTGACTACAGAGTCACTACAAGTGATGCAGTCCTTGGCATTTCCTGTTTTCTCCCTTCCTGATCCCTCTTTCTTCTGTGATGAGAACCCCCAGCAACTGAGTAACACCAGTGCAATATTTTTACTTGGGCAGTAATTGTGCCTAACAGACTTTGTGCTCTTAAGCAAGTCTGTTCAGCAAGTATTCCCCCCTTCCTCTGCTTTTGTCTCCTGCTTTCCTCTCCCAGTGTTTCAGCAGCCAGGCACGCTCTGCAGTCCGGGTGGAAGCGAGCCAGCATGAGAATCTGGGTGCATCCTTGTTGCAGCAGATTTTGGCAGCCACTGCTGTGTCTCATTGCTGCCAGGAACACTCCTGTGGCAGCAGCGTGGCAAAGTTTCATCGCAGCAGCCACGGTGCCCGTACCTGCCTGCGGCATCCCAGCTGTTACAGGTGGGATCTGCTGTGACCACGGCACTGACCTGCTGCTGGAGTGGCCTTCCTGTGACATAAGGTGTCTGTGCCTGTGACACAATTCCCCTCTGTCTGTAATGCCTGTGCATCACTCGGGTGAGGCTTGGCTCATGCCCCGTGGAGCTTTGAGTGTGAAGGAAGCAAAGCTCTGGTGTAACAGCAGGACAGTGAGTAATGGCAGGGCTCCCCTGAGTGCTGCGTGCTCTTGCCGTGCCACTCCTGGAGTTCAGGTTGGGATGGCTCTCTGGATGCTGGGCTGTGTTTAACTTGCCCTGGTGCCCTCTTCCAGCTCTGCCTGTGAAGGTAATGGCTGTCCATCACCAGGATGCCAGAGCTGTGTGTGAGAGGTGCCCGGGGCTGTCTGAGCTCAGGGCCCTGACAGGGGGCTCCCAAAAGGCAGACAGGGGAGTTTTTTGATCTCTGAAAAGGCAGACTGTGGGGTCTTTGGTAGGACTGAGGTGTGCTGGGAGCATCAACTGGCCAGCAAGGTGCAGGCTGCATTGTGTCCCACAGTGTTGAATGCCTGTGGTCTGTTGGGGGTGGGCGGTGGGGAATGAATAGTGCTGATTCTCGTGCCGTGTAAATATGCCTCTCCCTAAATAGTCTTGCTGTGCAGCAGCTGGGTGGCTGTACCCAGGTCCTAAAATAGTTTGGCTGTTTTAGGAGGCGAGGGGGCAGGGAAGGAATGTAGCAGTTTGCAGGGTGCTGCCATTGTGTTTCAGTGCCCCTCAGTCTGGCTGTCCCTGAGTGCAGGGGACTGGTAACCTGATTTCTGGGTGCCTCTCAGCACCAGCTGTACTCATGCTCAACACCCATTGTGTGGCTGGTACAGAGTGCTGCTCAGCCAGGCCCGCTCTTGGCAAGACCCCATTTCTCACAATCCTGGCTTTGTCCTGCCTCTCTGCAGGGATGAGCCCTGAAGCTGTGCCCCATGCTTAACCCTTTCAAGGCAGCGTGCTGGCCCCTGGGCCAGCGTTTACCTACAGGTAGTGTCCATAACAGGAGGGTGAGATGACCACAGCAGGCACAGGCTGGGCTTGTGCCCTACTTCTGCCTTCATCTCTGTTACACAGAGCTTCTCTGTGGGGCTGGGCAGTGTCCCAACCCCAGGTGAACAGCCCTTGGAGGGGACCTTGGTATTACTTTATTTCTGCACCCAGCCAAAGGGCAGCATGAGCCTGCTAGGCCCCCCAAAAAACCTGCAATCCCCCCAGGTGCCTCTCTGCCATTGTACATTTTGCTGCAGTGTCTAATCAAAGCACTGCATCTCCAACAGTGACAGCTCTGCACCCTTTCTCCCAAACTTGAAAGAAAAGCAAATTGACAATTAAATATTGCACTTGCTATGCTTCTGTGATGTCTTAGAAGTGCATCTCAGTGTTGGATTGGGTAATGCTGTGAATGTGCTTTAATTAACTGACACCTTCCTTGCTGTGAAGAACCTGCTGTACTTCTTCCCTGTGACATCCCAGGTCTGTGACCTGGTTTCTGCTCTGATGGAAGTTTCTTTCCTAGTTTTTCAGAAGGTGGTCCAGCCTGGAGGGCTCATGGGTTCGCTGAGTATAGAGAGTGCAGGCAGATTGGTAGCAGGGGCTCTGTGCCAGCCTAGTCTGGCAGTTATGTCCCTGTGATTGGGAGTCCCTTAGTCCTGGGGCCCTTGGAAACGAAGAGCCACAAGGAGTATCAGAAGTATTTGTGTGGGTGGTGGGACTCTGGAAAGTCATGGAGGCCACCCTAGTTTGGGGAAAAAACCATGCTGTGCCTGCCTGTGCTCATGAAAGCAGGGGCAGAGATCTTGGCAGCAGCTCTGCCTTGTGCTGCTCTCGCCTGTACGCAGTTTGGGGCTGGTGGCTTTGTTCGTGCCTTCCTTTGCCACAGCTTCCTCTGTGGCTGTGAGGTTTTTCAGCTGGAAAGGGCTTTCTTCCAGGGTAACCACAACTGTGCAGATCTTTGTCTGGGATAGCTACAGCCCTCATTTCTTTGGAAGAGCGCTAACAGTGAAAAGATGATGGGTGGGAACAGTGAAAAGATGATGGGTGGGGGGTTTGGCTGGCTCCTGCCCACTGAAAAGCTTCAGCACTGTGCCTAGGATTTCCTGCTAAATGGCTGAAAGGATTTAACTCTGTCAGGGTTGAGATGGTGGCAGGGGGGCAATGGCAGGCTGTATGCCAAGGCTGAGCCCAGCTTGGGAGACTCTGCCCTGTCCTCTCCTGTGAAGCCCTAGCTCTGTGCTGAACCTTGATGGCAAGACCAGGATGAAAGAGGGCTATTGAGTGGCTGATAACAGAGCACCCATCCCTGCAGCTTTTGGACTTTGAGAGCCGGTGATAGCCCTGGTGGGTGTGAAGCGCTGGTTGCTGGATGGGCCGGATGCTTTACCCACACCCACAGCAGATGTTGGGAGGAGTTGGTGCACAGTCCCAGGCTGTGCACAGCAGATCACTTGCTGCCTCCCCATCCCTAAAGAACTCCTCCCCTTGCACAGGTGCTTTGCTCTGAAGAGTTCTTGCAGTTCTTTGTGCTCCATAGGGAGCATGGTCCCACTCTAGTCTTGCTCCTGGAGGTGGGCACTGGTTTCCTCTGCCAGCCTGACCCTGTGGTGCAGCCCTGGTACCTCAGCCCTGGCTGGGATTGCTGTGCTCCCCTGGAACCGTCTTTCTGCTTTGCCCGGGCTCACAGAATAAACAGCTGCCCTGAAGTGCAGCTGTTGTAGTGGTGCTTGTTGTAGTACAAAAGCATTTTGGAGAGAAAAGATCTTAACAGCTAGAGGGGGAGAGTTTTGCTTACAGAGAAAGATTGCTTTCTGCCAAGAGGTTCTGCTGGGTCTGCTCCCTGTTCCTCCTTGAAACTAGCAGGAAACCTGGCAGCAGCTGACTCTGCATGCCTTTGCCTCACCGCATTGGTGCATGGTGTAAGCTGCGTGCAAGTTGCCTTTGTGCTGGACAGACAAGTGGGTGAAATGGAAATCCCACTGAGATAAGCTGAGTTCCTCTGTGCTCCTTCTGTGTGGGTTGTTTGGTCTGAGCTCCCCTGAGCACTTCTCTCTTTGGTGAGACAGCTCTGAAAGCTGACAGCTACTTCTCTGTGCTTAATATATCTCAGCACTGGCCATGTCATGCAGCTTCCGCTCTCCCCTAAGCTTTGAATCTCACAGTGACTTTATCCATGTGCATGGTTCCTCTTCTGGGTGGATGAGCATGAGAATGGTGATTGTTAACCCTTTCCCCTTTGCACCCTGCAGGTATGACTCAGGACGGGATGGTTATATCGACCTGATGGAGCTGAAGCTCATGATGGAAAAGCTGGGAGCCCCTCAGACCCACCTGGGGCTGAAGAACATGATCAAGGAGGTGGATGAAGACTTTGATGGGAAGCTCAGCTTCCGTGAGGTGAGGGTGGCTGCAGTAACAGACAGGGATGTGGCTGTGGGGTTGAAGGAAGAGGCAGCTGGGCCCCATATCTGTGGGCTGCAGGTAGCGCTCTCCCCTCTGTGTTTTTCCAGTGCTGGGATGCAGTGGAGAAGGCAGTGAGCTTCCCCATGTCAAGGGTGTGGAGCACTGCTAACCTCCATCTCCATGTGGCAGTCATGGTACCTGATGCCAAAGCTCTCCAACCTCCCTGCTTGCTTTGGAAGCACATTTGAGCCTTGTTGCAGCTGCTGGGAGTGCTCACTGAGCTCCCTGTTATAGCTGGAGGGAGTAATGTCCCTTGAGTTTCCAGGTCTCATTGCTCGGCTCCTGTGGTGCAGCAGCTGAGGCCTCATTTCAGGTGCAGTGCAGGAGCTCTGCTTGGAGCAGCTCAGATCATGGGGCACAAAAGGCCCTGTCTCCCAGAGGGTATTGGGACCCTCTCTGCATCATGCAGAGATCAGCCATGGCAAGCTTTATGAGGGGTGGTCACCTCCCTGCAGCAAGGAATAAATGTGTGGATGCAGCAGTTTGGCACTGCATGCTGGCTCAGCAGGGACACAGCTCAAACAGGTCTGTCTGTTACCACTCTATTGTGACAGCTGGGAGGACAGGCCAGGATCCTCTGCCAGGCAGAGCAAGAGAGGAAATTTGAGCAGTGACCTGCATGTACTCAGGGGTACCCAAATCATCTCAGCAGGAGTAAGGAACCCAGGTACCAAAAGCTCCTGTTGCATCAACTCCTCCTCTCAGACTTTGGTAGCTGGCTCAGTCACAAGCAAATGTCACACTGTGGCTTTCTGAATTAACCCACAGCCTCTTAGGTAGCAAGAGGAGGGGCAGCACTGTGTGTCCTGCAGCAGTTTTGAGGGCTGTGCTGCTTCCTTCTGTCCTGTGGGACGCCTGCAGTGGGCCCCAGCAGCTGGGCTCCCTAGTTTCTGCAGGCATGATGCTCTCACCATGCCTCTTCCAGGGTAGAGCTCAGAATGTCAGGCTCTCCATTGTGGAAGTTTGAGAGCTTTGTCAGTGCTGGGAGGGAGGATGAGCAGCCAAGGCCTGTGACTGGCTGGGCTGGTTGGGGTATGAGGGGTGACTGTCACTCATAGAGCTGCTGCACCGTCTCTGCACTGGGCACATCACACCATGTTCCTCTGCTTTTGTGCCCAAAAGGCTTTGTTGGGTTTATTTCACTGCGAGAGGGCAGCACAAAAAGACAGAGGCCAAAGACTTGGGTTACCAGAGAGGAGAAAGGATATGCAAATCTGGGAACTGAGAGCCTGTCCCTGAGTTCCCTGCTGCCCGGTCAGAGGTGAACTGGGAGTAGCAAAGAATCTAGTGGAGCAGGAAGAGCACCATGCCCATGGCCCCAGGTGTCTGATTGCCAAATCCCTGTGTAGGCTCAGGAGCCCTCCATGTGCATTCTGGGCCTCCCTTCATTGCAGGTCAAGAGCTGGGGGCAGCCTCTGGGCTTGCTGTAGGGGCTCTCTCCCATGGAAGAGAAATGCCTTTATCCTCAAGGCCCTGAAATGATGTCCCAGCATCAGTAACATGGCATGAGTAGCAGAGCAGCTCTTCTGCTGCCACCTGTTTGGAGCGCAGCCTCCTGCAGGGGTGCCTGTGCTGCCAGCCCCTGGCATGTGGCACAGGCAGCTGGTGCTGTTCAAGTGTCTTGCCAGAAGGGAAAACAATGGTCATGCAACAAGCTTGAGAGGCCCATGGGTTGGAATGAGGGAGCATCACTGGCAGAGCTCTGGGGACAAATTACACAGCAGCTTTGGCAGACACACAAAGCTTCCTGTGGTAGAGAGGAGCAGGATGCTTCTTGCCTTGCTGCAGATGTGCCCTGTTCAGCTGCTGTGTTCAGGCAGAGGGCTGACAGGGAAGCAGGTTTCCTGGTGGGTCAGGAGACCTCAACCATAGGCCTGTCCCATTCTGCCTCTCATTGGTGGCAAGCAAGCATGTGGAGGGTGACTAAGCTGACTCAGGTTATTCAGCTTATCCCAGAAGAAACCAGGTTTAAATGAGTATCTGAACTCAGTAGGATGCATCTATAGCACTGGAGAGCTCCTGTCTGCCTATCCAGAGAATACCAAGTCCTGGCATACCTATATGAACATAATCTTCTTGTGGCCTGGCCACAGAATTGGTAGGGACCTCTTTCACTTGCAATAGATCACCTTTTTCTACTGCTTTGAGCAGTGTCCTCCCATCCCAGATAAGCTGTTCCCTGGCAAACAGGCTGCTGATGAACCACAGGCCCTGTTAGGAAAGCTGCCTTGTACCATTGACCTTTGAACGTCCACCAATACATTAACAATTAACTGTACAGGGCTCCTGCCATGACTCAAATAATGAAATTTAGGCTTAAAATGATAAGGTATAGTGGAGGGAAAAAATCCCCACGCCTCTGACTGTGTAGTTCCATCATTACCACAGGAAACTGGAGTTAATTGCTGTGATAGTAATGTGTAATTGGAACTGCTACTTAGAACACACAGAAATCCACCCACTGTCCTCTACACCCTCACCAGCTGAAATGTTGATTCACATGATGTGTTTGCTACCAGGGTTGGTGCAAACCACATCCTTATATAGTGCTGCTTTTCTGGCAAGCTGTTGTTGCAAGGCTACTGCTGTTGCCTGTCAGTCCCACTCCTTTCCTTGCATGATGCCCAGCCTGGCTCTTGGCATAGGTCTTGGGTCATGAAGGATGTGACAGCAGATACAATTTACCAGGTTAGTGGGTTGGAAAGTGTGTGTTGTGTTGTCCTCTTTGAGAGCGGAGCTTTGAAAGGTACCTACCTGCATTATTCACTTTTGCTTCTCTGTTGACATTTCCTTGAGACTTAGCTGCACATGGTGTGTCCTGGGCCCAGCAAGGGTGTTACACAGGCTGGCAGGGGGAGCTGAATGCAGACTGCTGGAGTTCTCTAGTTACTAAGAACCAATACCTCAAGGTAAGATGGCAAGGTGGGCTGCAGGCTGTGTGCTGGAGCGATTGCTGCTGAGCTCCTGTGGAAAACCAGCATGATGTCCCATAGTGCACCTTGCTGGATCCTTGGGACTGACATTGTGCTCTGTCCACCCTAAGCAGTGTTTTAGTCCCAAGTTTCCTTTAACTCAGCCTGCCCTTTGTGGCCACAGCAGCCTATATTCTAGAGACTGCTGCACCATCCCTAAGTTTCAGGATGATTCATGCTCACTTGTACTCATGACCCAGTCCCTCCCCAGGTGACAGCTGTATCAGACCTCAGGATTGTGCTGTCTTCACTGCTCTTTTCCAATGCCAGGAAGTGGGACTTTCAGGGTGGAGCAGGAGGAAGCATGACTAATTCCAGCCTAGCTGCCAGCCCTCTGTGTCACAGTGCCTGGTGGTGGCAAAGGGGAACTAGCCCGAGCCCAGTGGATCTGAGCAGAGGGAGAGGACATCTTGGGGAGAATTTGGTTTCTTTCCTAAAGAAACCATTTATTTTTTACATGAAAACCAGTGAACCACGTATTTAGTTTGTTTCTTACATGTGTGTATTGAGTTTGCATGGCCAGGTTTTCATAGGGGGTCCACAAGAGTAGCTTCTGTGAGAAGCTGTTAGAATCTTCCCCTGTGTCTGGTAAGCCAAAGCCAGGTGGCTCCAGGACAGACCTGCCACTGACTGAGGTGAGCCAATCAGGAATGATAGTAATGCTTCTGTGATAACATATATAAGAAGATTAAAAAGTTCTTGTGCAGAGGTAATTATGGCCAGAGAAGAGAGAAATAAGAATATGTGAGAGGAACAGCTTTGCAGACACCTGGGTCAGTGGAGAGGGAGGGACAGGAGGTGATCCAGGTGCTGGAGCTGAGGTTCCCCTGCAGCCTGCGGTGCAGAGCATGGTGAAACAGGCTGAAGCCTGTGGAGGTCCATGGGGATGCAGAAATCCACCTGCAGCCCGTGGAGGATACCCATGGACCAGAGCAGGTGGTTGCCTGAAAGGAAAATGTGAACCCATGGGAAGCCCATGCTGGAGCAGGGGAAGGACTCTTCTCCCTGCACAGTGGCAGGAACAACCTGTGAAGAACTGACCATAATCCCCATTCCCTATCTCCCTGTGCTGCTGGAGGCAGGAGGTAGAGCTGGCAAGGAGGGAGGGGTGAGGGGAAGGTGTCTTTAAGATTTATTTTTCTTCTCATCATCCTGGTCCAATTTTGGTAATAATAAATTCAATTAATATCCCTAAATTGAGCCTTTTTTGCCTATGACACTATTTTGGTGAATAATCTCTCCAGGGCCTTAGAACTCATGAACTTTTGTTACATTTTCTCTCCCCTATCCAGATGAGAAGGGGAGTGATAAAGTGGCTTTGGTAGCCTGGCATCCAGCCAGGGTCAACCAACTACAAAGTGTTTGGAGAAGGAAAATTCCCTTGCCAAGGCCAGCCTGCTTTGTGCTTGCCCTGTGCTGAGTGCTCACAGGTTAAGGGGCTGTTGCATGGAGCTGTGCTGGGTGAGCTGCCTGTGCGAGAGGGCGGCCAGCGCTGCTGTCATCCCCACACCCTTCCTCATGGGAGGCCTACCCAAACTCTTGCATTCCCACCAGCTTCTGCGAGCAGCTTGAAGCAGGGCTGTGTCAGTGTGAATGCTGGGACTCTGCTGCCCTCCTCTGGGACAGCTCGGGCTCTCAATAGAAAACGTCAGACTCCCCAGCCTGGCAGTCTGAGGAGCACAGCATTAGAGGTATTTGATGTTCCTGTGCAAAGTGATTTCGGGACAAGCCTACCTGGTGTCTGCAGTCCTCTGGCCTGGCCTGAAGTGCTGCATTGGTACAGCTTTGTTGCTTTGTGCTCCTTTTGTACCTGAGTGGCTTGTCCTTGTGTCTGTTCTCTCTGCACTGTTCCAAGCACTGAGACACCTCCTGGGGTCGCCAAGAATAGCAGGTACTTACAGGACCTCTGCAAGTACACCTAGAGCTTCCACATCTTAACCTGGAGTTTGGTTGGCAGGTCAATGGTGGTGCAGAGGTCTTTATTTTTAAGCAGGCAGATTTTGTTCCTTCTGTTAAAACAAAAAGAAAAGGTATGTTTTTGTGGAATGAGATTTAACTCTTGTTTTCATTTCCCTTTGCAATTCACTTCCTAATACACACTCTGTTGTAGTGACTCTGGATTTGTTAAATGGACATGGTCCAGTGCAGGACAGAAGTTTCTCACCACCTTGCTCTGTGGACACTTGTTCAAGCCGCTCTGTCACAAGGGCATACACCTTGGCTGCAGTTCTGTCTAAAAGGACTGCACTAATGCCTTGGTTCAGAGAGGCATTCAGCCTGAGGTGAACCAGAGCTGTGTTTGCCCTGCTTTCAGTGTCATGGGATGTGACCTGAGTCCCTAGAACACTGGGGAATCTGGTGGAGGGCTTGTGAGGGCTTATGGGAGCATCAAGAGCTATATCTGAATGTGCCCAGTGGTTGTAGTGGGCAGGTGCAGAGGTGGTCTCCTTCCTCTGGCCATTACCAGGGCTCTGATTCCTGGGAAACCTTCTTTTCCTCTGAGATTCCTACTGCTTTTAGTCTGTAACAGAACTGTGTACTGGAGCACAAGCTCCTTGCTGCCACTTGGTTTATATAGACCTGGTTTCCTTTGCTCTGAAATGTGAATTCCATCCCCCTCCAGGTGATTGTGCTGTTTGTATTTTAAGTTGTTTGAGCCTCAGTGAAAAACCTGAATGTTTCCTCTCTGTCTTGCTAGTTCCTGCTTATTTTCCATAAAGCTGCAGCTGGGGAACTCGAGGAGGACAGCGGCCTGTTGACTCTGGCGAAGCTCTCGGAGATAGATGTGTCCATTGAGGGAGTCAAAGGAGCCAAGAACTTCTTTGAAGCTAAGGTATGATGTGGCACAGAGGCATATGAAAAAACTCAGCTGTACCTGAAGCTCAGCTACTCAGCTGTAGCTGAGTTTCCTTTCAAATTTTGTTGGACTCTAGCTAGGGTCTTTCTGTGGCTCAGGCAACACACCAGAGCAATGTCTGGCTGCATCCCACCAGCAATGACTGGCTGACCTGTGTCCCTATGGCTGGAACTAGGTGGCTGACCTCTTATAAAGACAAAAGCATCCTGAAAAACTAATGCAATAGGGACAGAGTTTTCCCATTTTGCAAAACCTCCCTCGACCAGAACACTCTGAGTTCAGTAGTGAACGGAGTGTTTTGGAGTGTAGGATTTCAGATATCTCTTTCTCTGTAACCTTTGGAATCAAAATAATTCTGCAGGGTCCTGGGGTTGGCAGAAAGAGCTGTACACCATCCGAAGCTGACAAAGCACCCTTTCTGAAAGCTCTCTTGGAGAGAAAATAATCCTGCTTGTTTATATAAGAAGTTTTTTCCCAAGAGCCTAACACAGCTATTGCACAGCAGATGTACTGAGATGAAAGCTGGAAAAATAGCCAGCAAGTAAACAATGTCTCTTTGATCTGCAGATTATCCATGGTGTAGTATGATGTTCTCAGATTTGGCTGTGATTCAGAGTGTTTTCTGCAGTAGTTTCTCCCACTGCATACTCACAATCTATGCCCTCCTGCCTGGTAATAGAAATAATGTATGTGACCTAGTACTGATGGCCTTGTTTTGGTCACTTGTTAGTGACTTAGTAGTAAGTGGCCTTTCTTTTGTTGATGTTAAAGTAAAGGAAAGTAACAGGTAAGGTGTGTAAATACCCAAGCATTGCAGTGTAATTAATACTTGAGCTGTCCTGGAAGAGGATCCCAGCAAGCACTGGGAGGTGTAGCAGGCAGTTCTGTGTTACTCATCTGGGAGTAGCTCAGGCTTTGACTCTCCCTCTGATGCAAGGCTTGACACTTGTTTATTTTCTCTCTGTCTCATGAAGGCTCAAGCCCTCTCCTCAGCCAGTAAGTTTGAAGCAGAGATAAAAGCTGAGCAGGATGAGCGAAAGCGGGAAGAGGAGGAAAGGAAGCACCGCCGAGCAGCTTTCAGGGAGTTAAAGTCTGCATTCACCCAGTAACCAACCAGCCAATATGCACTCTGAAATTGCACACCACTTGGTACGTTTCCCAGATCAGGGCTCTGCCTGGACAGAACTGCTTGGATCCTGCCTAAAACTCATCACAGCTTTGCTAGCCTTCCTTTCTGGAAGATCCTCCTGAGCTCCTAAGGGCACAACTCTCGCAGTTACTATGCATTTATACTGATGTGAATAGTGGGGGCTGTGTCTGGGCTGTTTGCTCTGAACTGTTAGGAGCACGTGACCGTTAAGCAGAAACAGCAGGTAGCAAATCCTGGGTGAGCACTGACAAGCGTCATGTTTGCCTACTTCATTCTTTCCTATAGATCCTTTTTCTCTTAATCCTGTATTAATTCATTCCTTGCTTACAGGCAAGTAGTGAGGTCTTGTGTAAATCAGGGTGTACAAAGTACAGTTTGACTTCTGTATGTTTGTACTGCTGTTGGGTGTTGTCACCCTTTTCTTATTCCTCAAAGCCCCGTGCCACAGGCACCATGAAAACACTGTGAAGAGAGAAAGATAATTACTAGGGACATGGATCAAATTCATTATCATTTCCTGTAGCATTTTCTGCCACCCAGCATGTTGAAGAGTCTTCCAGTTTCTCTTCTCTGAAGTGCCATAGTAACAAACCCTTCAATCAGAGGTGAGATTCCCCAAGACTTCAAAGGGAAGAAGCTGGCTCTCTTAAACGAGGAATAGAAAACTGAGTTGCCTGACCATTTATCTTCTTTCACATTCCATCACATTTAGTGTACTGTACAGCTTCACTGTTACTTTCCAGGCTTAGGCAGCTGTATCTGTTCTTAGGGGGTATTGTCAGCTGGACAGTGCAATTGGATGGCACACTGGGCTTTTCTATTTTGGAATTTGCTCATAGCCTGAATCATGAAGGTGACATTGTTAGATGTTATTAGAGGCACAAGAGAGGACACCAGCACAGCATACTGAGCACCCCCTGCTCAGAGAGCAGGGAGGTGAGCACACTTAGCTGAACTGAATTTGAGGGCTTGCATTATACTATTGGCCATTTCTTCTTGGAAACATGGGGAATTTGCCCACAAATGTTGAGATGCCCATTGCTTGTCTGGATATAAACACTGTTGGTCATGGCAGGGGAACTTCCCTCAGAGACCTCTTCCAAGACATGGATTTGCTGAAATTCTGCCTCTGATCTTGCTCAAATTCATGGCAAAATGTTATTTTTTTTTTCCCAGAACAAAACTCACCAGTCATCTTTTCACTTGTCTATTTTGCTTCTTAAACTGTGAGCACTAAACTGTGAGCATGGAATAATAAATAGGAAAACCTCTACTCTTTAATGTCAGGTGAAAGAATTGCTAAATGATTAAACTGTGTATATATCTTCACAGATTATATTTTATAAATCACGCTTTTGTAGCTAAATATTTATAATTAAATGTTTTTATACTTTACAACAAAGCAGATAATTTCATCTTCAATTATTTCTCCTGTTGCTGAAATGTAAAAATAAAGCATTGTTATCTCCAGTCTTGTCTGTGGCTTATTTCAGGTCTTTGCATATAGCATTTTTCATAAATTATAATAGTAATCCCCAAAGCTCAGCATCCTGACTTTGGTGAGTGGGGGAAGTGTTCAACCCCTTCTTGAGAACACTTCCTGTTCTGCACAGCAGTTCTGGTGTAAAAAGCCCTAATGTTTGCATTCCCTCAGAAAGGGACATGGCTGTGTAAATACTTGAAATACTGCCTGCTGCTAAATGTTGACATCTGAAGGTTGTCAGCCTTTCCTTATCTTAAAATAGCCTCAGTCTCAGCCCCCATAGTGCCCCAGCTGGGAGCTGGGCAGGTTGCTTCAGCTGGAATTCCTTTTGCATTTCCTGCTTCTGCCTTTATTAAGGGAGAAAAAAGACAAATACATGGCTATGTGAAAATATGTCTCCAAGAATTTTGTTTCTACTATTGCTGATCTGCTAAGCTTTGCTGCAGGGCACACTGAGGAGGGGGTTCAGGAAGAGGTTTAACCATGCCTTGTTTCAGGTCCAGTGATGAAATAGAAACCATAAATATTTTATTCCTTGCAGCTCTGCTCTGAGCCAATACATTCACTGTGTCTCTGAGTCCTCAGGTCTCAGAGGCCAGGTAAAATCAGGGTGAAGGTTCCTTACTCTCCATTTCCCCAGGAAAATTGTGACACTGCAGCTCTTGATTTTTTCTTTGTTTGTTGTTGGTTTGTGGTGTTGTTTTTTTTTTTTTACAGCACAGCAAGCACTGCTGAGTTCTGCTGCTTTGCACATGCAGCTGGGTAAGGAGCCCAGGGCTGCAGGAGAAGATGGTGGAAAAAGGCTTTCCACTGGTTTTATTTTAATAGAATTGAGTCAACTCCAGCTGGCAAGTTTCAGTAAGGAAATGAGCATTGTCTATGGTTTTGCTCAATTCAAATGGGTGCTGTTAGTTGGGACCTGCATTCAGTGCAGTGAACAGTAAGTGCTTTTGGATGTGCATTTATTCAGAAGTTGCAGCAATGTGTGTTTTGAAATTAGCTTTGCAAAAATGGACAGTGGGAAATTAATTGCTTTCTAATTTGTTCTGTTTTACTGGCAATTATTGGATTAGATAACTGTCATTAAGTTATGCAGAAGTACTAAAGAGAAGTTGTCTAACTGTATCTCCCACCTAAAACCATGTGAAAACACTTAGTTATATTTACTTGTAATTTATCTATTACAATCCTTGATGCTCTGTCCTTCTATGCCTGATGTCACCTCAGGTGGCTCTCAAATGTCCTGGCAATCCCAACTCTCTTTAGTGGTGCTTGCTGGTACATTAATGTCTCTCTGGTATTTCTGACATGCCACAAGTGACTCTTAAATGTGATGGCAAGTAGAGGAGCTCAATGAAAAACCTGTTGTGCTTAGTGGTCTTTCTCAGAAGGGACAATCGCTTGCCTCAAGTATTTCATGTGTTTCATTCATCTAGAATGGAAACTTCAGGTAGTCCTTGATCCCTGAAGGGATTTTGTTTAACAAAAACGTTACATTTCCCCAGAGTAGGCAAAGTACAATAGAGGAGGCACTAGCACTTCAGCCACCCCCAAGAGTGGGTTCAGCCTGTCTGGATGCTCAGATTGCAGTGGATTTCTCAAGGATGCTCCTGTCACAGTCATTGCTGTTGGCTGCAGGGGACAGCCTGTGGCAGCAGGAAGTCTCACCTAAAGAGCTGAGAGTGGTCACAGCAGAGAGAAAGAGAAACGGTGTGATCAAGCTCTTCCTGGCTCAAGGTTCGGGGTTTATCTGTGAGGATTAAGGAGACAAAATAACATTTTAACCTTATGGGAGTGTCCAAATAAATCCAAGACATCTAAAAGTAATTGAGTGTTGCAGAAGTAGCAGCTTGTTTGTGGTATTGTGTCTTTCAGCACAAGCCACCTGAGGTGACAGATGCATTGAAGTGACTGACTTTAAAAACTGCAGTTGAATGTTTGCCTGCTTTGTTGCTGTTTTCATTATTTTTAGGGATGTGACAAATGAGGGCATGGAAAACAGGCTGCTGAGAACATATTGATTCTTCCCAGACAAAATCCCTGGTTATTTCAACAAACAGGGGAACAACTTTTCCAAGTAACAAAATGCAGGAGTGGCAAGGGGAAACATGACTGTGGCACATCCTTCTGGGCTGCTTTGTGATCATTATTTCTCATTTCAAATGGTGTACTGAGGGAGGCGGGCTCCTGCCTCCAAGCCAGAATGGCTGAAAACAAGGGGTTAGTAAGGAAAGTTTATAGTATGTTGGGAATGCTGCTTCCCTGCACTTGGGTTTTTAATAGTGTGAATGAATTGGCACAGTAATCCAGGGCTCTGAAGTACATCATGCCCTTGGTACCCAGACTGGCTGCTGGGGTGATTTCACACCTACACAATATCAGCTGACATTCTGTCATTGAGCCATGCAGGAATTTTACCGCACGGGTACAGTCTTGAATTTTCATGAGATTCTCTCTGTTCTGCTTGAATGAATTGTGGAAGATTTAAGATGCATCTGCTATTACCAAAAGATTGTCATCTGAGTTTCCTTGAGGTATTTTACAGAAATGCCAAGTTCTGCAGATGAGGAATGTTTCAGATGCTTATTGAATTTGAAATTAGGTTTTCTTTTTTTTTGGTCTCAGTAATATAATGTTTGTGCTAACTGGGATAAAAAAAATTTCCACAAGTGCTAAACATCTTCCATCTCAGATAAAGGTTGTCTTAGAGCATGTGAAAATATTTTTGAGTGCTCAAACTCACATTTGATAAGTAGAATAACAAGGCACAGCTGCTTCTGCAATTAAATTGGAAGTTCTCACTGAAAGCTTGAAATGCAGCACGGTCTCCCTCCCTCCCTCTCTTTATCATTATTAGTATTGGCTCAAGCTGTGTGACAACAACCAGGGGGATTGAATGCAGCTTATCAGAGGCCAGCCCTTTTCTAGGGAGCTTTGCTTTTCCATACCAGCCTCCTAATGGATAAATTCCATTCTAGGTTTTTTGGGTGAGGTAGTCCTATGTTGCTCTCAGCTAAAAATAAGCCCCAAGAATTACAGGCTTTCAACCCATTAGCTCACAAGAATCACTAGTATTCACTGTTGCATCATTTTTGGCTGTCATTCAGTACACAATGACAAGTATTTATTCACCTAGAAGAGGATGTAGAAAGCTACATGGGTTGTGGCTGACACCATGATTAGAGTGAAACTGTTTCAGCTGAAAACGGTTATACCTTCAGCAATGCGTAACAGCCAAGAATAGTTTTTTACGCTGAAGGAACCACATGGGGCTATTCTGCCTCATGTACTAATATGGGTTTGGGGACTAAAAATAAACTGGTATTTTTAGCTGAAGAAAGTTTGCCTTGAGCTCCTGATTTTTCCATCAGAAGAGTCAAAATATGTATCATCTAATGCCCTTTTTCTGTCAGCAGCAACAGCAGCTGCCGCTGCCTCCCAGGGTGACTCCCACGGCAAAGCGGCCGCAGGGCTCCTCCAGTGCCCGGGCGAGAGCGGGTCCAGTGCCTGGGCACTGAGAGTGCTCGCACACGGTGGCTCCTCACAGAGATTCTCATGGCCACTGATAAAGCTGAATTGCCTCATGGAACCTCACAGAAGAAACAGATAAGGCTGGGAGCCACAGTGCGCTACTCTGTGTGTGTGTGTGTGTGAGATAGTGGCAGGAGGGTGACAGAATCACGGAATCATTCTGGTTGGAAAAGACCTCTGAGATCATCGAGTCCAGCCTGTGACTGATCCCCACTTGTCAACCAGACCAGGGCACCGAGTGCCACATCCAGGTACTCCTTGAACACCTCCTGAAACAGTGACTCCACAACCTCCCTTGACACCCCCTTCCAATGC